ACGCCTCGGGAGGGTGGACTACTTAGAATACAAAGAAAATCCAGCCAGATCACCTTACATTTGGAGACAATGTTGAAAAACCTTTGAGAAACTGCACAGCTAGGAGACAGCTTACCTAATTTATAGTCTTAAGGCTTTGCACCGTAGATATTTGCAATGAAAACAAGAAATGCAATTGTTGCGGCATATTCTTTTTGAAATCTTAAACTGGACTATGGGCACTCTGTTCCGGGAAGGACACCAAAACCAAGGGTTAGGAGGATTATCCGAAGTTTTGCTAACAAATGAAATTGGTACGGATTTCGCACAGGGCCCACGGAATATGCCGTAACCTGAACTACGTCCAAAATGTACGTAACATATGTACATATGTATATCAGTTCAAGTTAATACTGCTAGTGAGCAGACTCATTTCTTCATTGCCGTAAAAGTAAATTCAGTTAAGTGACCATTATGCGACTTTGGTCTCAAGCCAGCCCATTCTATTTCTATATAAAAAGCACCTAAGACGTGTTAAACCCCAACAATAATAAAACCCCGGCCAATAATTTTGAGTGTTCTTAGAGGACCGAGGAAATGGGAGGGAGGCCGGGGCCCGTGCTCATGAAAATTTGTTAGGCAACTTAAGCTATGGCATAAAATTCAGAATCCTCTCATTCTTGGACTATTTTCTACTGTCAGTTCTTATAAAGGACACATGTCTATGTCCTGTCTCCTGTCAGCCAGCCAAGCTACCGCATAAATTTTTTATTCAAACAGACACACACACACACACACACACACACAGCTGACTAGTTATTGTTTTTTATGAGCTGCGACAAAGGAACGCCTTTAGGAGGAGCATGTACAAGAAACTCACACTTGGGCTCAGATATAGAATAGCCAACGGAGACAGATAAGACAGAAATCAACACGAAGAATATGTGTCAGTATCATGAGCAGGTATACTTTACGAGTTCCAGGAACAAACTGCAGTTTGGGGATTTCCTGTGGCGAGCAAGTGGTTCGAGCTCCGTGCCTTATACATACATGTATTTAAATTACTTGTGGAACGCCGAGAGTGAGTGAGCTGATAGCTCTAAAGTATTGGAATAACTTGAAAAACAATTAATACGAACAATTGGATCACAAGAGAAAAGCAAACAGCGATCCCTTCCCTTTCTTTACGCTCAGAAGGTAAGCGAAAAGCTTTTGTTGGAAAGCAGAATTAGAAGTTGGTGGAACGTCGTATTGCGTGATCATCCCCATTTATCGTACAACAAAGAAACAACAAACGAATCAAACAGAACAGCAGGCGAAACAGGCAACAGAACCAACGGGCGGCCATCAAAAGCTTTATTTAGGGGTTGATTTTTAACCCTTCGTTTCCAGCCCAACCAAAATGGCGGTGTGGCCAAATGTTGTGTGATTTTCTACGTTACTCCTGTAAATAAAACAAGAACATTTTAAAACTATACCTAGAAAACCCTAAGACTTTATATTTTCAGTCCCTTTAAGCTTAGATTCTCTTGAAAAGCCAGTTGTTTCGCCGATAATTGCTTTATTATCAAAGGAACCTGGCTGCCCAGGTAACCCAAAGCCCCTAAAAGAATGCCCAAGAGCTGCCCAGCTCCCCCAGCTTCTTAAAGCTAATAAACTCCAAGCAACATGAAAGCAAATACCACGCACTGGACTCATCCCCACACCCCGAAAATAATCGACAGCAGATAGTACCCAGCAAGCTTACAACAGCAACAACAAAAACTTAAATGAAGAAGAAAAATTGTAAAACGAAGGCGTACTTTTCCTTTCATTAAATGGAAAAACGAGCAGTTCTAACGCTCTTGCCCTAACGCGAAAGGACATTCATTGAAAAACAAGAGCAAGTCGAATCCTTGTCCCATCACAACATCGGTTGCCGGTACCGCAGATGAAAGTTAACAAGGCATCAAGTAACAGGACGCTGCCTCCGAAGAAGTATAAAGGGTATCCTAGCGACGATTCTGCTGGAGGATAAGATGGAGGATGTGGAAAAGCGTAGAATGTCCAGTACACAAAAACAAGAAAATAAAGCTTAAAATTGTAGCTCTAAATAAAAGGTAGCGGATCAAATCCCAATTTGCTCTTTGGGGTATGATATACATAGCGTACACGGCATATGTTGTATCCTGTCGCATGTCCTTCCTACGCCTAAGGCCAGAGTGTATGGCTGGCAATTTTGTTTTCTCGAAAAAAGGACATCCCACGCACTCAAAACTACCTACAGCTTGGGTCACACATCTGCTGTACTCGCGCACCGCTCCGTTTTCATTTTGCTCCCCTTTCGACAAATTGTTATGCCCCTCTCGAGCCGCAGCCCAAATTCATTAAAAAAATGTCAACGACTGTAAAAATAAAACTCTAATGTGCAGCGAAAGTCTCAGCCCGCGACTTGAAGAAAAACTCGAGTTAATTTATCATTTTACTTCCTGTCAGCTGCCCGTGGATGTTCATAGCACATGAATGTGGCTAAAGGTACAAACTATCTAGAGTATTTGCACTGCAGTCTAAAGTAGTTCTTTCTTAGGAAATGTACATATTCTTCTTTAATCTTAGCTTGAGCACACAGCACTGCGGTCTGCCGCCAAAGGGTGATTATTAGAAAGTCAAATTCTGAATTTGACATGCTTCACAATACGATTGGTTATGCTACATAAATTTGTAATTTAAAGTAGTACATTATGTATTGAAAGGATTCAAAAGGGAATACTGACCACGTGCAGCGAAAAGGCGTGTGGTGCAATCACGCTGTGAGGCGGAAAGCAGCTGCTTAAAATGCTGGTCAGTCTGATTCTGAGTGACCGTAAATTACACAACTGCCAGCAGAAAGAGCAATCCTTTGGCAACACTTTTATGACCCTCGATGCGAATTTTGGCAGTTTCTATGAAACTCGAAGGCCCCTTCTGACAATCTATAATTGTCTTGCATTGTCCTATCGGTTTCCTTGTGCACAACCTTTTGTGACCACACATAATTTATTATATTTTTAGACCATGGAAACTCACAGTTTGCCTTTCCCACGCAGCCGACGACGCCAGACACGCCAGACAAGACTCGCCATTCAACTTGATGACTGAAGTCTACTACTGTGTCCTTTTCTTTTTGCTATACAACTCCTTTCGACCCTATCACTTGTGTGCAGTCTCTTGACTGTGTTTTTTTATTTCAATGTTGCGTGGGTTCGACTTCCACGAACTCTTTGAGCGATAAACAGTTATACCCCCAAAGGACTTCCTCGGAAATATTTCTAAAACTCTTTTTTATAAGGGCTGGAGGAAATATCTAGTGAAGACCAAAAATTAATAATAAGCTAACCTTTGTGTTGTATGAGGATAGTATTTAAATGTTTACAATGCTCAGATGTTACCCAATTAAGACAATATATACGCACATTTTTAGTATTGGGTAAAATTTAGTAAAACGAGTAAATGTCAACCAAATAATGTGAGCCAACATAATCCCTTTACACACAAATTAAATTGAGAACACACACGCTGCATACTTCCGCTTTCTGGCGTTCGCATAACATATTAAGAAATTTGAAATACTCAAGGGTGCGTTTGAGAGCCAATACAGTTTGAATTTACCGCCAAGCACAAGGTTGCTTGTGCGCTCTGCAGGGCTGCCAGATGCACAAAAAAGAAATATCATTGCCAGACTGGGAGATTTATATTACTCTTATATTATATTTCTTATACTTATATTATTACTGTTGTATGAGCAAAAGTGCCTTATGCGTCTGCCTACAGTGGCTTCAAATGACAGTAAGTCCTGATGTCACAGGGAACTCCCAAAAACAACCGCTGTTCCACGGCTATTCCGTGCTTTCCACATTCTTCGCATTTACAGTTAAAGTCGAGCCACAGAGTTTGCAGTTGCGATACCGAAACGACCAGCGACGCCCTTTGTGTGGCCCACTACTCCCTGCCTCAGCCGCCCAGAAGACGAATTTGATTGAAAAACAATTGAAAAAGGAAGAAGAAGAATAGATCCCGGACTGGGGGTAGGGGTGGAACAGCTGTTCGTCTGAGAACGGGCGTCTGGTGCAATGGAAAGACCGACAAGACAAGATCTCGTGTGGCGTGGGGAATGGGTCCTGCTCCTGCCGCTTTCCTGCTGTTCTCGCGCCAGGAGCACATTGGATACCCTTCAAGGATGTGGACGATGCGCACGCCCTAAACGTGTCGGTGGCGAGGTCACCCGCGTGGATGGCAGCAGTCGTGCCCTTGTGGAAGGGGGTGGAGAAGCCGCGTTCCATGGTCCTCGAGACGCGTCGTGGATACATGTACATGAACAGAGTCGCCTCGGACTCCATAAGCCGCGCCACGATGGACGGATCCGATCTGCAACCATGTCCGGGAGCTCATATTCGACCAGGATACGAGACGCCTCTACTGGATGGCAACAAGTGTCAGGTACTGGTTGGCAGCTAGGACTACGTGTACTGGAGCGACTGGAGCGCCGGAGAAATTGATCAAGACGGGCCAGAACCGCAGCCTCGCCAAGGCCGTGCATCCGCATCCCTGTGAACATTGCCGTGTATGCCATGTAGGCTATCGTGAACGATCACGATAAAACAGACTCTCCACAGAAAGAGGGAGAGAGATACCCACCCATTACACGAAGACTCTCCACATTTTCCCCATTTCGAAAACAAATTGTTTGTGGTTTTATATATGTAGGTATAGTAGAACTGTAAAGTATAATGAATCTAAAAGTCAACCCTCGCGTGCATAGTTCATCATGTATTTGTTGTAACTTTAGCTTTTTACAAGTGGTTCCATCTGGCTGCAGATGGAGCGAGCGAATGAGTGGGAGTACAAAAAGAAGAGACCATTATAGTTTTTACTCTCTGGAGTGCCTCGCTTTCGCTTTGAACTTGCCACACATTGCTCTTGCCTCGCTCTGCTATTCAGTTTTTAATTCGCAGCTAAGCAAGACGCGTCGGATGAAAATAGTTACATTTTTCACTTATCGAGAGCTCCCCCTCTGACTTTACAAGCATGCCTACTGCAGTTTACAAAGACTTGCACAATAGGCTTTCGTTATCGTTCTTCATGCTGTAAACATTGCACTCTGTCTAATTGATTGAACCACACCCGAAGAAAACACGCTATAAATTAAACATGAAGCTCTGTTTCAATTACAAGTTCGCCCTCCATTTCAGCAATTTTTTATTTCTGGTAAGTTTTTGTAAGCTGTTTATCCGAAAGTAAAACTAATACATCATTATCAGAGTATGATTTTGTGCAAATAAATTATACAACGCACCACGCACATTTCACTATTTCTAGTAAATAGTATGCTGCATTTACACTTTTCCCTTTAGGGTTTTACATTTTAGCCTGGATTCCATTCAGTTTACCCAACTTCACTCTGTCGGTTTTGTTATGGTTGGCTGACCGGCGGAAATGTAAATTAGCGTGTTCCAAAGAACAGTCCAAATAGATTCTGTTGTAAACTAATAGGGGACCAAAAAAGCCCATATTCCATCGTGATCTTTTTTGTTTAATTCTAATGTACGGACATTCATTTCTATATCATTTTCAGCTTTGTGGTATTCTACTCATTTTATCCGGCTGCTACCTGTTTACCGACAACAAGCGCATATTACTGTCCAGACTAATAGCCGCTCCCAGCGATCGTCTGAACGCATTACCACAACCATTGCTCTACTACATAGCTCTGGGACTGGCCATTGCAGGATTTGTAGCGGTGCTGGCATCCGTCGTGGGCTTTTGGGCCAGTTGCCTGCATACCTATTGCTTTCTCAGTATCTACTTTTTGAGCGTCGTGGTCTTACTCCTGACCGAGTCCGTAATATGCCTGGCCATTACTCTCTGGCCGCACTGCTTGGGCATTAGCCTAGATGAGAGTCAAATGGTAAAATCTTTGCAGACCTATTACGGTGTACCGGGACAGGAGCAGTTCACCAATGCCATGGACTTGGCACAGACTCGCTTTGGCTGCTGCGGAATGAAAAGTTCGTTGGACTACGACACATCGTTGTGGCGTCTCCAAAGCTATGGGCAAACCAATTGGCCTGTTCCATTAAGTTGCTGTGTACTGGAAAATGCACCACAGCCATTGGCGTATCTGGATCCGAAGCCAGCAAATGAGTCTCAGTGTCAGTCCCTGGAGCATTTATCCTATGAGAGGGAGCGCTATACGGAATCATGTCTGCTCCATCTAGACATCTGGTATCGGGAGCAGTATAGTGTTTTCCTTGGCGCCAGTCTGCTAATGGCAATTGTTGAGTTCTGTGTCCTGCTCGCCATTATAATGAGCTGCACGGGCCTTGCCTCCCAAAGGGCCAGGCTTGAAAATATTCAAAACTTGACAGTTCAAAAGCGCAGACGGCATACAGCGCTGTCACATCGTGGTCTTGTGGAGAACATATATGACCCGGAGGTGGAACTCAGAGTAAACTCTGGTCACAGTACGAACGGCATATGCCTGGGAGGACCTAGCAGACACGTAAGCAGCGAGGATTTCACGGAGTTGTATCTAAAGCCCAGCGATCTGCACACGCACCGCAACAATGCATCTTTTGAACCAAATTCTGCCAACTTCCATGCGCAGACAAGAAATTATTTGGTTTAACCTATGAAACTCTAAGCTGAGAGAAGGTAGATTTGCCATTACTTACTATTCAACATATATAGTACCTATATACATACATATATTTAATTTTGTTTGATGTAGATTGTGAAACTCAACGCAATGCGAAGCTACGACGACATTTGGAGCTACCTTATATACATACATATGTGCATACAGGAAATTAACACAATGTATACTACTAATTTTATTTTGTTTGCAAGCTTGAATCGTTTTTGTTTCAGACCTTGTGCAAATTTAACAAAATATCTCAAAAATTTTAAAGAATTATTTTAAGAAATAAAATATGTGTTAAAACATGCGTAAATAACTAATTTATGATTATTATATACTGAAATATCTTTTTTCCAAAATAAATAGGAAGCAATTTGAACCAAAATGTACGCAATAATGTTACAGCATGCATATAATTATCACTTATTCACTTTCAAACAATTTCTTTTTGGCGCGCAGTTCTCAAGTCGATAGTATTGAAGGCGTTTCTTGGTATTTACGCTCTTTTTTTGGGGCTTTCAGCTCATCAAATGAGTCGGTATATTTTGGTATATTTCTGAGGGTCAGACCGTATATACCGTATTATTATACTTTTCATAGTATTTTCCAGTATATTTTAGGACGCGTTATGGACTTACCCTCTTGTACAATGCACCAATGTCGAAACCGTGTAGAAATGCCACTTAGAGCCATGTCTCAGGCCACATCGAATGTTATTTCGTGATCAGCATCGAATTCCTGATTGTTTGCCATCAAAATCTCATTTTTTTGAAAAGGTCGCAAAAAACGGCATGTCAGAAAGTGGATAACAGAAGTTTTTCACACTGGCGCTTCCATGGGGCTTATCAGGTGTCGCCTTTAGTAATTACATGAACATGTAGTTAATATGTAGCAAATGCGTAGTTACCAAGTTTTGCCTAAATGTTATTTTATAAACAACCCAATAAAAGTGAGAACTTAAATTTAACCAGTCTTCTAGGAAATTTATGTAATAACCGGATAATATTATGAGTTCAGACCCTCAGGTCTTAGCTAGATAGTTATATTCCACGGAAAATACTTAACGAGGAATACAAATAATTCGTCAGTATGTTTACGGTATATTTCGATATATGTGACGTAGTTCGATATATCGCTGAGGGACCGTATAACTTATCGATACCGATTGTGTTTTAAATAAGCGCCTCCTGTCATTTAAGTGCTTTTTTCCAGTTTTTTAATTTGTTCATAACTAATAAAAACTAAACTAAATTCATCGGAAGTGTGTCGTGAATTAAAATCAACCAGCTGAAACGACCGAAAGAAAGGCACAGCGTGCAGCGCACGTTCGACAGGGCCCCGCACGGGTTTTCTATTAAGACAAACTTTACATTTATGCAAAATCGAGTGCATATTCAACAAGAACGTTTTTTAGCCTGGAGCTAATATTATAAACTTAATTTTTATCGTAAGTTCATAGGCAGAAAGAAGTTCTGGTAGTTTCTGTAAAATAAGAATGGCGGCAATAACGGAACTTTTTTCTCGCTCAAGTGTACGGGTGTTCTACGCATTTCGAGGAAAAAAATATACATCTGCACAAAAAAATGGGTTTAAGCACAAACATATGGATGTGCATATCTTTTTTCAAATGGCGGATCATGTTCAGTTCAGAATAACAAGAATAATGCAGCGTTTGCTGATTTCTGGACGCTTTTTCTTCTGCTCCTGCCGCCGCGCCGTCGTCGTCAACATGTGTTTATGTGTGTGCGATCCCGCTTCCGTAAACATGCTGCATTGGGTCGTGTTTCTCTTTAACTGTAGACTCTCTTTTTCTCTTATCTCTGTTCAGTTTTTTTTGTAGTGGATCTCATTTTCGTGCTTAATTGTTGCTGCTTGATTTTTTTGTTAATTGCTGGGGGTGGGTGGTGGTAGGCGTTCAGGGCATTCCAAAGTACTTGAATCATACTTAATCAAATGCTAATGTCTCTCTCTTTTTCTCCTCTGCAGGTCTGTATAATTAAGAGGCGCCATGTCTTCGAGAGAAGACATATTTGCAGTAGTCACCTCCGAGGTGCGGGCGCTAATCATTAGTGGGCGTAAGCCGCCGGTTCCCCTCGACGACATTCTCAAGGACTATTGCGAGGTCGTGGGAGAGCCACTGCCATTCCGCCGGTTGGGCTACAGAAGCGCCCAAGATCTGCTGGAGGCTACCAAGAACTTTAACTTTCAGACTTATGGAAGCACGGTAAATGTCTTTTAGGAACCTAACCAACGTGGAACTGCAGATTCTTCGTGGAATTACATACTCTTCGCTTATTAGCGCCTCTGTCCACCCACTTGGACCGCTTGGACTCTTGCACGCACACACAACCTCGCCCGATCTTCAAAGGTTATACCCTGTATTCGTCGTTTAGGAGGAGGGTATATCGTAATCGTGTATATGTTCGTAACAGCCTGACGGAGGATGTATACCCGACCCCATTCCATATTTTCTTCTGTTTAGCATCAATGGTCGAGATTATTTACATAACTCATAAAGTAGCCTTGAAAAATCGGCAAGACCAGATGCAATTTTGAAGGAGGTTTGCGGTCAGATCATTAGAGGTACAGGGTATCTGTTTGTCGCGATACTGGAATGCAGAAAGTTTGCTGGCTTTCTCTCGCCAGTAGCCAGCAGCACGCTGAGCTTGCTCTCTCGCTCAGCTTTCGATTGGCGCTACGCTGCGAAGCTTTTGCGAGCGCACCCGCCCGCAGTACCTTTCAACGCGTGCCGAAAGCTACAGCTGCCTCTGCTTGCTGCTGCTGCCGCTTGTGTCCACGGGGGCTGCCGCAAAAGGGGCGACGTGTCAACAGCCTTCTTCTTCGTGTTCGCCTTCGAAAACTGTAAACAATGGCATTTTACTTAACTTAGTTTATTTATTTAGCCGCCGTAGTGGAGTGCGCGAGATTCTGCGGCTTTTACGAGCTTTGCCTCGCGATTTCTTTAGTTGCTGATTAAGCGCTTTTGCAAATGCAGCCCGCCCCACTCCCCACGAAAATGTGTAACACGAAAATCGAAAATGCCAGCAATTTAAACTTTTATTTTGCTGTGCATATCTTTGTCTCATTGTGTGTGTGTGGTGAAAGTGATCGAACGACTGCTATCTCTGTTCGTCCGTGCATTACACTTGAATTCTAGAATAGATGCAGATGCAGATGCAAATGCAGATTTGTACTTCCGTTGCATGGGGGTGCGTGGGCTGGCACTCGCCGCTCTAACTTCTAACGCATTGCTCTAGGGTCCGACCAAATCAATAATTCCGAGTGCAACCAAAATGAGAGCAGCACTTATGAAATGAATGCAAAATCCTCATTGTACATATATACTGAGTAGCTTTCTCTGCATATCGAGTATAGCCGTCCCCCATATCACGTCTGGCGCCCTACCCTGCCCATACCCATGCAGCATTGCTCAATGGAGCTCTCCGACCTTATAAAGAGCGAAAGACGATTACAGCAATGAACCACAGCCCGCATTAAATGATTCATTTGGCTGAGCAATCAAAAATCAACATGAAACAGCTGCGATCTCTAAAACAGACACCGCAGCACTTGAGCTAACTCTGAAATCTTAGAGAGAAGAGTTTGCTGGAGGGCTGGAGATTTATTGGGTCTCATTGTTACCCAAATTGGGAGCTCGGCAAGCAGAAATTTCATGGCGGAAGGCTTTCCCTGGTCCCAATAATTTTATCTTTTTCGGATACCAGAATAATCATATCCTTTTGCAGGTCTACATCACCGCCAAGTCCAGTGCGAAATCGGATCACATTGCGTCTATGGTGCGGCAGCAGAAATCTTCCAAATCCAAACGCTCCCTCTCAAGGCCGACTCCACAGCCACGCGTTTTTCAAAACGTTGCACCCGCTTACCAGCAACAAAGTTATTCTCAGCAACAGCATCAGCTGTGGTCGCAGCAGCAGCAAAGGAAACTGCTACAGATACAGAAACAGCAACAGCTGCAGTTGCAGCAACAGCAGCAGCAACGGCATCACGTGCAGAATCAACTGCAAAATCAACTGCAGAATCAACTGCAGAAGCAACTGCAACAGCAGCAGGAAAATTTAAAACAACAGCACGAGAAAGAGTTGACTAAGAAAAAATTGCAGATTGCGACGCTGCAGAAGGTGGTTGATTGGCATTGCAAGCAGGAAGAGGAGAAGCAACGCCAGCTGAAAGAGATCAAGGAGCAGGACGAGCAAAAGCTCAAGGAGCGCGAACAAGAAATAAAGAAGCTGGAGAAAGAGCTTGAGCATTTCAAACGCAAGGCCGAAGCCAAAGAGCTTCTGGACAAAAAGCTGGAGAACGTCGCTCCAAAAATCGCCTCCAACACGCCGGTGCTGGCCAAAGATAACAAACAGCATAAGGGCGAGAACCAAGCTACCAAAAAAGTCGAAGAACTGGAGAAAGTCGCTCCGAAAATCGGTTATTTCAGACCAAGCAACGGGCAGACGCTGGACAAAGATAAAAAGCACCATTCGAAAGAAGACGTGCACTTAGGTCGCTTCGATATTTGCAACATGAATGGCCATAGCAACGGCAACGGCCATGGCAGAACCATGGCGGGAAAGCCTCCTCAGCGCCCCATACTAGGCAACGGTGCTCCGCATCGTGGAGGTGGTCCAGGGGCTGCTTTTGACACGCCCATCAGCTCCAAAAATCGAGGAATGCAGCAGCGGAGCTCGGTTAATGATAGACTGAAGCTACAACAGCAGCCAGCGGCGACTCCAGTGACCGCAAATCAAACACCAATGCCTGTAGCAGTGCCGATAACTCCTCCTAAAACGCCAGAGACTCCCTCGACAAAGCCCAATCAGAGAGCACCGCGGACATCGCCGAAAATTCCGAAATCCCGGAGCCCCAGCAGGTTCGAGTTCAACTCAGATGCGACCCGCGACCCCATCGCCACTCTGAAGGCGTATTGCGATTTCAAAAACTTAGAGCAGCCCGCTTACCGCATCTTCGAGAACGTTGATCGGACCCAAATTGTCTGCTCAGTGACGGTCGGCGCCTGCGTTTACAGCTGCTATCCCAAGGAGTTTACTGACGAGCCGACGGCTCGCAGGGAGACCGCCAGGATGGCCATTGAGAAGATCAAGACCGTAGAGTCGCGCCAGCCGCTGGCTATCTGCACACTGACGGATCACGAGTTCATCGACGGCCTGTACCAAGAGCTGCGGCAGTACCCCAACGGCATTATAGGCCACAAGCTGGAGGAGTGGTATGAGCAGACCTTCAACCACCACCTACCCAGCCACTGGCACGATCTGGTTGTGGAGTCGAGTAAGATTCGTCTGGAGGATAACGTCCATTCTCTCATTCTTCTTGCCAACGATCCCGCCTCTCCGAAGTCGAACAAAGCAGAATTCCAGAAGCACGAAATGCCTGAGCTTCGGCTGCCGTGGATGAACAAGGTGGACCACAGTTTAGAGCGCCACCACGACTGGAGCATGTACATCACCCACTGCGACTCCACCAAACAGGTCTGGGCCCGCCTGATTGATCAGATATCCAGCCTAGAGAAGTTGACGATGCACCTCAACAAGCACGTGCCGGCTCGCACACTGGTAACGGATCCCATTGAGCAGAATATGTATCTGGTGGAAGTCACCGAGGGCTGGAGTCGAGTGCGAGTGCTCTCCGTGGATGCGAAGCAGCGAACCTGCCTCTGCCACTTTGTGGACTTTGGGGACGTGGCCCAGTTTGAGTTTGAAGATCTGGTTGGTTGTCCGCCCCAGTTCCTGATGCTGCCCGCACAGGCTATCTGCCTGGGCATGTATGCACTGGAAAAGTTCGCGGATCACCCGCACGCCCAGGCCGTGCTCCTTAAAGAGCTCGCCGGCCAGCGGGTTGTGGCTCGCATCCTTACCACCGAGAAGCAGTTCAACGAACTCGGCGGCTGTGCCCAGGGCATTTGGAAGGATGATAGGCGAAGCGCCTGCCTGGTGGGCACCCTGTACGACACCTCCACGGTGGAGGACATTCACCTAAACGATCTAGTTGCCAACAGCATCAGTCGCAACACCCCGGTGCCCATGCTGAGTCCGGACCAGAAGTCCAATCCGGTGCTCATCTCGCATATCAACGAGGGCGGCGACCTCACGGTTCTACTCCGTAACGAGGATCTAAAGTTTGTGGAGCGCAGCATTGCCAACACGGTGGCCGACATTGGGGAGAAGCATCGTGTCACCTACTCGGACCTGCTGCGCGATCGCCTGGTGTTTGTCTGCGACGAGTCAGTCGAGGGATTCAAGCAATGGTACCGCGGCATGCTCACCACCAAGCCGAAGAACGCCGAAGAGGAGACCTTCGACGTGTACTATGTGGACGACGGGCGCCTCCGCAAGACGCACATCTCAAACATCTATCGACTGGAGGCCAACAATCTGGCGCTAGCTGGGTATCCGCCGCTGGCTCTGCGCGTCCGCCTTCACGACGTACCCGATATCGTGGGAGACATGCTTGGACGCCTTCGTGGACTGATGCCGCCCCGAAGCGAGGCAATCGTGAGTGTCCTCCGCCGAAACCGGCCCCATATGTGACAATAGCTAACAATAATTTCATGCATTCACAGCTCAAGGTGATGGATGGTTCCGGCAGTGACAAACTGCCGATGGTCAATGTTTATGTGCGCGGCCAGGATGCCAATGCCATGTACATGTGCGTGAACACCGCCATCCAGATGGAATACGAAATGCAGAGGTAAGTTCCATGCCGTGTGCTTTCTGCCCTGCACTACGATCATCATTCGCACCCTCCCACCCACACACACACTGGCACGTGGCATCACCACCACCCCTCTAATTGGAATCAAGCCCCCTATAACACCATACCACACCACACCATGCCATACCATATCACATTTGATCTGTGCTCCCCCAAATCATCCAAATGCATTTTCTATTAGTGCTTTCGATAAACTGGAAACAAAATGATGCGCTATCGCTAACCCCATCCACGATCAACGTCAATAATAATAAATGTACAACAAATAAGCATCGATAATGTAAGATAATGCGTAAGAACTCCATTCCCATCTCTGTATATAAAACTACTAAACTAAAATATACTCATACTCGTACCACTTCACATCACAATGCTACCTACCCGATAAGATCCTAGAACGTTTTTCATGCCTTATCCTCAATACTGTGTCCCACGCCCCCTACATTCGTTCCCCACTCCCCTAACGCTACCCTGACCCCGTCGCCCTTCCCAAACAGAACCTCGCGTCCGCAGACCTACGACGATGGCGGCCTGCGCTTCAATCCCAACGGACAGCTGCAGCGACGCAACAGCTTCGGCTCTGCGGTGTCCAGTCACAGCAGCGGCAGCCTCAGCTTCAGCGACCATGTCCTTCCCGCCACCCCACCCGTCACGCCACTAAGAGGATTGTCGTCGACGCCCACGATCAAGGAGTACGAGGCAATACCGGCAGTGGGCGCCTACTTCGAGGTGCGCATTGCCCTCTCCATCAATCCCGGACACTTTGCGGTGAGTCGATGAATGGTTCGATAGCAATCCATCGTTAACTCTGTTCCAAAACGGCATTCCAGGTACAACCCTACAAGAGCTACAATCAGTTCCAGCATTTGATGAAGGATCTGCAGGCCCATTGCAAGGGAGCGGCGGCACAAGGCGTCCAACCTTCACGAGTGACCATAGGAGAGGCCTACGCAGCTCCAGACAGTGATAACGTCTACCATCGGTAAGTCTCGAACAGGGAGAACAGACAGACCAAGCCAATAGCTAATCCTCTTGCAGTGTAATTATTCGGAAGATTTACGATGAGATTATAACTGTGCGCTTCGTGGACGTGGGCGATGACGGTGTAGTGGCCTGTGATCAACTAAAGAAGCTTCCTCTGGCCTTTGCCGAGCTTCCCAAGATGGCCATACCAGCTCAACTATATGGTGGGGGTCCAGCATCCAACCTTATCTATCTACTTTTCTAATGCTATCTGTGCCATCCTATTCAGGCATCCAACTTGCAGACGTTCTCTGGACTCAGGAGAACTGTGTACGCTTCCGGATGCTAACGCTGGGTAAAAAGTTTATCGGGATTGTACGGCGACTGAGCAAGTTGAAGGATGACACGCTAGCGCTGTGCCTGGAGCTGGTCGACACCTCCACGCCGCAGGACATAAAGCTGCACGAGATTCTCATCAACGAGAAGCACGCGCAGCCAGAGCCGAAGGTCTGAATCGAAGAACGACTTTAATATGAGTTTGAACTTGTTCACGTTTATATTTGCTTATTTGTAGCCTTAGGAATAGGTATATATGTATAATTTATTACGACGATACACATTCCCCCAAACGGGAACGAACAGTTGGGTTACTCTGTACTACTCGGAAACGCAACAATATAAAAGTTATGATTTTAGCCACTACCGTTTGACGTCTATCGGGAGAAGGGGTGCACTTGGTTGGCCGCCTTGATGTTGGTCTTGACGGCCGAGGGAGCCTTGCCCAGCTGCTGCTGCACGTTGCCGGGACTCATGGCGGGCCCGCCCATGGGCGAGGAGGCGCGAATCGAGGGCGGCACCATCATGCCAGGCCCCGGGCCGTAATTCGTCATCTTCAGACCCTTGCCCATGCCCACCGCGGCAACGAGGAGCTGAGTGTCGGCCATACTGCTGGTTTGCTGGATGCCGGTGCGCGAGGAGGACTCGATCTCCCACTCCTCGCGCGCCTTGCTGACCATATCCAGGACGTGGGAGACAACCTTGTTGTACTGGGTGACCTGTTTCATAGCCGCATCGTTGGTGAGATTGGCGGCTTTCTGCTCGTTCGCCTGCATTTTCTGCTCGGTAAGCGGATCGGGCCGCGTTCGCAGATAGTCCGGCACAATGTCGTGGGAGAAGACCGGCACGCGTCCCTCGGTGATATTTATTAACGTCTCGTCGCGATCCATCGACACCAGTAGCGGCAGGACAGTTCGGTTCCTTAGCGGTGGACACTGCTCTTTGGCCAGGATCTTCGTTAGCCCCGTCAAATGACTGGAAATGATGGCAAAATTGTCCAGAAATGTTGGCCAGTTGATTGTCTCGTATTCCATCTCCAGTTTCTGGATCATGGCCAGCACCGCCAGCTTCAAGTCGTTCAGGCGCTGCAGGACGGCGTCCAGCGTCATCTCAAAGTGCTTTTCCTCGCGCTGCATTTCCGTTTTTATATTAAACAAATTTAATTGCAAAATTGAATATTTTTACTGCAACACACGCTAGTGTGACCATGTGAGGACGAGAACAGCTGTTGAAGTTTTAGGGCATTCTGGGTATTTTCTCACTCGCGCCATACGGTCTGACAAACATGGCCGCCGTGGTGGTCTAAGAAAAAAACTGAACGCCGTGTTTTTTCATTTGCAACTAAAACCACACGAGAACTCTTTAAGCGTGCCCGCAAAACGTATAACAATGTAAGCAATTTAGTCTAGTGACTGTTACTATCGTTTTACACAATCGCTGATGCCTACAAACGGTACTTCGCAACGGATAAATTTTTTTTGCTGTCGTCGAGTGTCTCGTACTCTCTCTCTCTCTCGCTCTCACTCGTTCGCTGTTGCTGACAAAGCAAACCATACGTGACGGGGCGTGTACATGTGTGTGTTGTTTGTGTGTGCAAGCTGGCCAGAAGCTGAAAAGTGAAAATTTGTTTGTATGCGTGGATGACACGATCAAAAGCCGGTCGGTGCTCCCGATCCTCCAGCACTCTCGGTCCAGCTACATTAACTTGCCCTACATGCATTCGTCGTCCTACGCCCCTGCTGGCCATGCGCTTGGCCCGACGCGCCGCGGCATGGGTTGAAGTTGATCGCGTATCGTCCCGTCCCCGCGATCGCTGACTCTCCCGTGGCTTGGAATATTCGTCCGGCAGCCGGAAAGTGTACGGGAATTCGGGCATTCTCTGCGTTTTCAGCCCAACGCCTCTGGCAGCTGACCCCCGCGCACGCGTTCGTGTTCGTGCTTGCACACCGGTCGTGTTGTACTCTCTCTCTCTCTCTGCAGTTTCTCTCTCTCTTCTCTACTTCCTTGTTGATATTGTTGTTGTACGCCATTTCTAATGCCTCTCTTTCATGTTTTTTTATAATATAAATTGTAATATATTTGCAGCTTTTTGTGTATGTTTTCTGAATAAGTATCATGCCAAAATGAAATGGTAAAGTGTTGCCGCGTTCGCATAATCGATTACGAATAAATACATATATACTCTATACATACATAAATACGTGCGCGATTGTTGATAGAAAAAAGAGAGCTAGAGCTATATCGATATCGAAGCGATTCAGCCCGCGATGGCGTCGCGCAGGCGCGCCGATTTGAATCCCAAACTGCACATGGACAGGCAGCCGACAGCTGCCCGCATAACAGGTACCTCCCAATCCAAATAATCACCACCCCTCTCAAACAGACAGAGAGTCTGATAATCCGGGGATGTGTTATCCCTCTGTTATGAAGTGGCCCTAAAACGGCGCCATAAAGAAGGGATGCGATTCTCACTAAAGAGAACGGATCGACTGAACCTCACGAAAACCATTTTTAAACCGCCTACCCACCCACTCACCGTTTCAGATCCCTCTCTGCCCGCCGGCAAGCGACGCGAGATCGACAACGTCATGAAGAAGGCTCGGGCCAACACAACCAACGACTACTGGGACAAGAAGCTGATCGAGGCCGAGGAGAAGGACCCCAATCGCTGGCGTCATACCGGCTACAAGAAAATGTACATCCAGGGCGAGAGCAGCTCCGGGGACAGTGATCGCGAGCCGCACGGCGTGCCGCGCCCCGGGGAGGGAGCACCACCCCCCTATGGCCGCTATCCACCCGGAGGAGCCCCGCAAGGTCCACCGCCGCGCTTTGGCCGATCCCGCTCGCCCCATTCGCGCAGCCGTTCCGGATTACGCAAGTCGCCGCCGCTGTCGCCACCACCGCGTCGTCGCTCTCCGCTGCCGCCCATGCACGGCATGGATCGTCGCGGCGGCCCGCGATCCCCTCCCATGCCGCGCTCTCCCAACCATGATACCATGATGCGTCGTCCCGGCAATGGCCACGGTCGGCCCCGTTCCCCACCCGAACCGAGCTCCGGCTCCTCGTCCTTGCGCCGCAAGCCAAACGCGTCGCGTTCTCCCTTGGGCCGTCGCCGCTCACCACCGTTGCCTCCTCCATCGTCGGCGGGACTGGACAAGCGCAGTTCGGGACACATTCTACCGCGTTCTAAGCGTCCCCCCTCGCCACCGCCAAGGGTAAGTCATATCATTCATCAATCGATTCCAATTCTTAATCTGTATCCTCTCTGCAGCACTCGATGCGTTCGCGTTCCAACAGCTCAATGAGCAGCAGCTCCGACGATTCCTGCTCCCTCTGCTCGCCCAGTCATCGCCATAGATCTCGGTAAGCATTCCTCCCGGCCTTATGTTTCCATTGATACTCAAACTTGATCTTCTCCCCCGTACAGATCCCGCGGTCCGCGCTCCCCTCCGCCAAAGCCGCGTGGGCATTATCGCGCCGGGGGTCCGCCACTCCCGCCGCCGGATACACATGGCCGCGTCCATGGTCGTCCCAGCAGTCCACCGCCGGTGCGTGGAAGCGGCTCGGTGTCCGCAATCGACAAGTATCGAGACGCCAAAATGCGTCACCTCGCACACGAACGCGGCGCCACGTCGGAGGCGCACATGAAAGTCGCTCGCTCGTCGCGTCACTCACCGCCGCCGGAAGATCCGCGTCTCAAGCACCGTCCGCCGGAGCCACCAGAGCCGGCAGCGACGACTGCTGCGGCCTCTGCTCCACAGGCCAAGAAGAAGAAAAAGGAGAAGGAGGTGAGTGTCGGAGTAGCTCGTACGAATCACGATCACATCCAAACATTGAATTACTCTGTTTATAGCAGGTGAGGCCACGCATCAAGATCGAGGGTGAGAAACGTAAAAAACCAGGGGCGCCCAGTGGCAGTGGAGGGAATGCAAACTCCTCGTCCGGTTCAGACGATTCGGGTGACTCGGACAGCGATGAGGTGCCGTCGCTGCCCACGTTCTCGGCCACAACGCGGCTGACGCTCTCGGAGCGCTTCGGGAAAATGGCGCAGTGGAGCATCGATCGCAGTAACATGGAGAACATGCGCATCACCAAAGATTCCGCGGGTGGTGCTCTTAAAGTGATGATTGAAGAGGGTCTCGAATCGCCGCCGCGTCGCTATTCGTATTCGCCTGCGCCGGCCGGACACTTTCCGGAGGAGTTGGCGACCACAGCACCGTCGGGTATGCTGTCGTGGGACGATGTGCGCGTACGTTACGAGTACTACAAGAGTCGTGGCTACTTAAGGGATTTGGATCTGAAGGTAAATGGAGTGTCCATACTCTGTAAAGCAGAAACTAAAGATCCGTTTCCTTCTCTCTTGCGCAGGACTACATCAAATGGGAGGAATGGTGGTATAAATATCAGGAGTGGCTGAAGCAGGAGCGCTACTATGAGTACTGGGATCGTAGCCAGCAATTGCGACGACGGCGCAAGAAGTTACCGGTCACTCAGCGTCTCAACTGAGAAACGCCCCCGTGGGCATCCGTACCGCAGTGTCCCAATCCTGTAGCTCTTCCCATCATCCTTCCCCAATTTGATCACCCTCGCTAACCAATTTATCCATTTATCATTTGAACTGAACCTTTATTTTGCTTTCTCCCTTACTTTTAATCTTACTTCATTTTTCCCAATCAATTCACCCCGCCTTTTTCCCCCTTTTTTGTACATTGAAAATGTACGGAAATGCATTTGTCAGCTCATGTATTTGATAACTAAACAATATGCATATACCACGCGATCCGAGCGCCAATTGCGGATGCTTATAAGGATTACATTAACACTGAAGATTGTAAGTTGTGTGGGGACTGTGCGTCCGGCCGCCGACGTGGTGCGGCACAGATCCCGAGAGGCAAATGTAAACGATTTAAATAAACCAATTAAAAACGGATGAATTTTACCGAATGTGCTCTCGATTTGGATTTCGATCGGATTTCAGGTTACACCGCACACTAATCCAGGAGCATGATAATTTCTGCTGGCTGGTGTTGGCGACATTAGTCTCACTACCGCCACAGGTGGCCCAGTCACAGGTGGTTGAGTCACCTACGCTTTGGAAGCGGCTCGGCTAGTGATTATCGTAAGTACCAGCGGAAGTTGCGGGTACCTGTATCGCCTGTGTTGACACTGGTCCACCATTCCCCAATGCAGACATAGCAGCTTTCATTGCGTAAATAATAATTAAAACTGTCAAGTAAAAAGTGGAAGTAGAAAGCCGTTTACGGCTAGCGTTATCGGAAATATGGTGTTTATCCTGTTTTTATATAAATAAGACACCAGATATTGAAAAGAACAATATAAATGAGAAAGGGGAGAGATGAAGGATACCTAAAAGACTTGAGAGAAGGCAAATAGTAAACTGGCTTGACTTTTGCACTTTCGAACACAAATTTTGAATTAAAAAAAAAAGAAAAGGAAAAAAGCGCCTTTAACACACCCAAATATGTACCCACACATTTGTCTATATGTACATTTGAATAAAAATACCTATATTCAATTTTATATTAACCCAAAAGAAAGCTGAAATTCATATTAAATTTCATTCTTGTTTGAAAGAAATGGAGGTTAGAAGTAGACAGGAAACAGGAAACTAATATCGCGATCCTCTGCGGCTGATTCCGCTGTAGCTCCTCGCCCTCTCGGGAGGTCCCAGGAATGTGCTTCTGGCAGGAATTGGCAGCCACTGTCTGTCCTTCTGCGAGCTATAGCCATGATGTCGCTGGTGTATCGCTGAGGCAACAATGTGGCTTACCGTCTGATGTAGCAGGGACCAGTGAACAACGGCGGAATTGTTGGTTCACGCCCACGGGAAATAATGTGAGCAACCAAATTCATACGCCGAATCAAACATTGGCCTCCAGCTTCGAGATTGGTAAGTGATTCAGTCTATAATTTTGTATATATTTTTAAATATTTCTTCCTTCACAGAGGACTTATGTACCCTAAGACAGACAGAATCATCTCCCAGCAGAACAGAAGCGCCTAAGAAGTCATCCTGGCCATAGGCAGCAAGGACTTTGACTACGAGAACCAAGGGAGGAGCTACGCAGGCTACTAGACTCTAGATATATCTCCTTGCTGTTATATTTAAGGATATACGCATTCATTTAGATAGTAGATACAAAAATGTTTCCCACTTGTTAGTTTTGTTATACTAAGCTAAGTTTTAATGAATAAAACTATCCTATCTTATCATCCTTGATGTATCCTTTATCGGGAAAACTATCCCGACCACAAAAAGGCGTGGCACGTCCAGATCGGTGACCAAATAGCGGAGAAAACTAAACATTTTTGATTTGGGAAAATGTCCTTGATCCTTGATAAGGACTCCATAAAATCAGGGACATTTATCCGATCCCAGGAAGACGTCGCACGTCCTGATCGGGCCAAAAGGTAACCGAGAAAACTAAGTAGGTATGGTTGGGGTTATTGTTGTCCTTACCGAAGGATCAAGGATATTTTTCTGATCACGGGGCCATTACGCGTCCCGATCGGGCCACAAATAAGGGAGAAAACAAGATATATATGTCTGGACAAAATATCCTTGATCATTGGTCCTTGATAAGGACACCGCCAAATTAGGAACATTTTTTCGAACACAGGAAGCCGTCGCACGCTCAGATCGGCCCATAAAAAGCAGAGAAAATAAATATTTTTGATCCTTGAGATCCTTTGTCCTTGAAAAGGAATTCATAAAATCAGGGACATTTCGCCGATCACAGGAAGTCGTCGCACGCCAAAATCGGCCGACAAATAACGGAGAAACAAAACTGGTTTGTAATTTGTTATTTTTGAAAATGTAGTTCAAGAAATCAACGATAAGGGCGCCACCGTACAAAGAAAAAACCCCGCGTCAAATGGCTGAAATACCAGGCGAACAGAAATCAGCAGAAGGTCGATCATGTTTTTAAGCCCCCTAAAGTATGCTGCGACATTTTTTTGGCAATTGCTACAGTTGCTTGCTGCTGATTTCTGTTCGCCTGGTATTTCAGCCATTTGACGCGAGGTTTTCTTTTTACAATCCAGCTTAGCTATCTCCGTTATGTGCCGGCCGATTTTGGCGTGCGACGACTTCCTGTGATCGGCAAAATGTCCCTGATTTTATGAAGTCCTTTCAAGGACAATGGATATCAAGGATCAAAAATATTCATTTTCTCCGCTTTTAATGGCCCGATCAGGACGTGCGACGTCTTCCTGGGATCGGATAAATGTCCCTGATTTTATGGAGTCCTTATCAAGGATCAAGGACATTTTCCCAAATCAAAAATGTTTAGTTTTCTCCGCTATTTGGTCACCGATCTGGACGTGCCACGCCTTTTTGTGGTCGGGATAGTTTTCCCGATAAAGGATACATCAAGGATGATAAGATAGGATAGTTTTATTCATTAAAACTTAGCTTAGTATACAAAATTAACAAGTGGGAAACATTTTTGTATCTACTATCTAAATGAATACGTACATCCTTAGATATAACAGCAAGGAGATATATCTAGAGTCTAGTAGCCTGCGTAGCTCGTCCCTTGGTTCTCGTAGTCAAAGTCCTTGCTGTCTATGGTCAGGATGACTTCTTAGGCGCTTCTGTTCTGCTGGGAGATGATTCTGTCTGTCTTAGGGTACATAAGTCCTCTGTGAAGGAATATATATTTTAAAATATATACAAATTTATATACTGATTCACTTACGAATCTGGAAGCTGAAGTGGCCCTGTGCACAGGAGCAGGCCCCGGTCAGGCGCCTGGAGTCGACAGTCATCATCGATCGCACACTCGCTCATATGAACCGGAAAACGCTCCCGATAAACGGTGGTGTGCATATAGGCGTCCGAGGGCAGGCAAGAGTCATTCCTTGCCACCGAAGGGGGCACCTGCTAAAATGAAAGGAAGAGTTAAATAAAGTAAATAAAGTGAATAAATAATAACTTAATAACTTTACCTGACGGGGTAAGAGGAAGGATCGCGCCATAGCAGTTTGTGTCCAGAGAGAGTCTCGGCCAATAGAGCTGGAGGGAATACAAAAATAAAAGAAGAAGAACCAAGAAAAAAAATTCAATGGAAAAGATGAATAGGGGGGAAACAAGGATAACTTACCAGGTCAAAGCCGACAAATAAAGTACGCGATGCACGCGATCGTAGATGCAGGATCGATCCAGCAACATACAAACGGGTTAGAGAGCGGGAAAATCTCGAGAGCGGTGCAAGACACGAAAGGTTAAAGCCTCGGGCCGCTTATCCATGGAAATATATACTGAAATATGCTCCTAGAAGAAATAAACAATTCGTAATCTCTCTTGAGAGCAGGCTCCCATGGTCGGCTGGCTTATGATGACACACTCTAGAGCCGAAGACCCTGCGATCTAATTCAGAAAGTTCGTTTGCGCCATATTCGGTACATGTAGATCCGTATTTATGGTCAAACGTTAGTGGTCAAACTCACTTTTGACAGCAGCAACCTAGGAGGAACATTTCACCAGAGAATTAGAAAATCGTTTTTTTCGTTTTTTGGGTAACCTGGTAGCCTTTTCCCTGCTCCCCAGCTGCCTGTCAAAACGCCGCTACGAGGCTCGAAGCAGTTCGAAAATCATTCCTATTTCTATCTTTGTGTCGAGCACATGTTCCAGTCAAAACAGAAAAAGTGAGTTCTGATAGAAAAATTTCAAAATTATTTGAGAAAGTTTTGTGAAATATTTTACGGAAATTAGGCACAACAATTTAATAAATTTTTGAGAAAGTTTTGTCAAATATTTTACGGAGAAATTATACAAATTTGTTACTTTTACTTCAAGTTAATTTTATTTGTTTTTTTTTTGGTTTTTTTTTTTGCAGAGCTGCCTTTAATCAATAAAAATCGATTCTTTAATAATGTCCAAGTTTAATGTTTGGCTGATCTTCTGGTGTAAGTAGAGGGCCACATCGGATGTTGCCTATAATCGATACTAATATTCTGTGCGGTGTTTAGGTGCCGTGATGATGATTCAGCCTTGGATGAACCAGAGCCATGCCCTGGCTGCGGATGCGGTCAATGCCACAGCTGTGCAATCCACTTCAGGCTTAGTGACGGGAGAAGCAACAACCGCCAAAACTACGGCCTCTCCCCAGGCAGTGGTCAAGTCATCCACTCGCCAAGAAGCTGCCAAGGAAATCGTCGCGGGAGCTCCTACAGTCACCCCCACAACAGACCCAGTGACTGGCCCAGCCGGACCCAAAATCGAGAAGGCACGATTGGGATCATCAGTTCGACTGATCACGGGCTTACTGTCCGGCTTGCATCGGACCAAGCGCCGCTTGTCGCTGCTGAATGATACCCTAATGCCGCGTTCGGGTCCCCAAAAGGGCGGCCACGCTTCATCTGCTCCCGTTGACACCACTACCTCGGCGCCGCCCAAAATGGACTTAGAACTGTCGTCCCCCACTATGATGGAAGATAGCGAGCAACAGGAACTCGACTATCAACCGCAAATGGTGGCCAAGCCTTTGGCCGAAGATTTCCTCTTGAACGAGCCCGAAAACGATCCGCACGGCGGTCACACTATGACCTCGTCCAAGTACCGTTGCATGCACATGTCTTCGCCGGTTCTACCGCCGATATTCATCATGTTGCAACAGCTGTTGCAGCCCAGCCCAATGATGGAGACGGCCACTGAGATGCACCACAGCCCCATTACATCACAACTGTTTGAGTTACTCAATGACGTCGAGGACATGACGCTGCAGAATATTCCCAATGTAATCGAGCGTCTGCTGGCGAATCGTTTCGTGTTCGCGAGTGGTACCCAACTGGATAACAAGGACAAGGGCACGCAGCAGGATGACGATGTCTCCGAGAACGACGAGCTCAAGAAGGAAGCTGCTGAAGTCGCACCCACTCACGATAAGGACGAAATCGTTCTCGTGTGTCCCCTACACCATGAGCATCATGCCAATCACAATGGCGAAATAATTGACGATAACGTTATCCATGTTGACCAGTGCCACGTTGTATAGGTCTGTAGATCGAGGTAGACATAGTATAGCGGTAGAATATTAGGTTTATAGGTAGCTAATATTTGAAATTGTGCTTTGGTGTCACTCAAAATTTTTAGGTTTTTTTTTTAGCATTTAGCTGTTTCTATTTCGGGTTTTTTGTTTAGTTTAGTCAGGGAATTGCGTCAGTGTCAAAATATTTTTTTTCGATTTTTTGCATCAAAACTTAAAATGGCAAACAAGTGTTATTTAATTGCGTTTAGGCAATTGTTTATATTAGAGATTATTGGAAGTTAGCGAGGTAACCAGATTCCTTAGCATTTATAGAAAGAAAAAAATAAAAACAACGAGCGCATTAAAATTCAAAAGCAGATACTCTTCATTTAATTGATTTAAAAATTCGAATTTCAATTTGAATCAACCGGGTAATCGTAGGAAAACAGCTGGACATTTTTCGATAGAACAATCGATTAACATTACTTCTGGCATTACTTCACCCATAGATGTCGTTTAGGGGAAACACGCCATCTACCATCGGTTATATTTCAAACTGAAAAAGCTTTTCAAGGTCAATTTAGGTATGTTATTTGCATAAATAATCGTCAATAAGTAGCAGCAGAAAAATGAAAAACTTCGCCCATCTGCACGTCAATAGAGTGATATGCACGCAGCGTTTACTTGACGGCATATAAATTGAAAAATTCCCATAAAAATGTGTAATTATTTGACATATTTTCAATTTCCACAACAGCCTGCGACGGAGTGTCTTGTTCCGCTAAAAGGGAAACCCGAGGCGGAGGCTGGAACTAACACGTACCAGATTGTGCCCGCTGCCACTGTCACTGCCACTGCCGCTGTCGCTGCCACTGCCGTGTTCTTTGCTGTGATTTCCGCTGCACAAATTAGCTGTTTTTCGTGGCGTCTGAGGTAACTGATAATCTGATAAGGCACGGAATAAGGAGGGATGGGTTAGATGGGGAGGGAGAGAATCGCTTAATGCTAATGTGTCGATGGAAAGATTCGCCGTGGTTAATTGAGGCTGGTGGTGGGTGAGACTTTGGGGTTGATGGGAGGAGTCATCCAAAGGAACGAGCCAATAGGTTATCTATTGAAAGGTTCTTTAATCCCGCCATCCAGCCTCATGGCCGGGGCCTCTAACCCCAATCTGTAGTACCCCGACAACCCCCAGAGGGCACGCCCTCGCACAATTAAGCTCGAAATAACAACAGCGCTAAGAAGGCTTTAAGTCCTTTCCTTTCGAGAGTGGAGGATGGCACGAGTAGGATGGGAGTCTGAAGTACAACTTGAGGAGAAGTCACGTCTAATTACACACATCTTGGAGCAGCATTTTGACCTGGTCTGGTGTACTTGCTGTTGCTGCTGGAGCTGTTGGTCGGACTGTTTTACTAAATTGGTTTAAAAAGCCACAGGGCAGGGGATTCCATGGGTAGCCATGGATACGAGTATGAAACTGGCGATGAGAGCGCGTGAGAACGTGAGCAATTATTACAGTTAAGTGGAGGAGAGGGCGAGCCCTCGGGGCGTAGCAGGAGGAGGCTCTTGGCGGCGACAGGCGTGGGGGCCATAATCCCTTTATAATCCACACACACAATGCTATTATATGCTGAAAATTACAAATAAGTGTCACGAATCAACAACAAGAACAGCAGGAAAAGAAAGCTGACAGCCGCCTGACAGACAAACAAAACGCGCTACAGCGGATGAGACATATTCCTAACTGTGGATCTTAGGGCTCGCGCACACTATAGCTGAAAGCGGAGCTGAAAGCGGAGCTGAAATCGAAGCTGAAAGCTCAGCTGATCTGAGAGCTTTTCTCAGACAGAATCAGCTTGCAGGTGCGTACATTGTCGGCTGATCTGATTGCTGAAAGCTGAAAACCACTGCCTCCCTTTGTCTATCTCCTTAAGTGGCATCAATAGATATCATTATAATTATTATTATTATATTGTTAATGAATTATTACTTCACAGCACGTACAGTAGCCAGACGGAAGTTTTCTTCTTTCTTTTGTATTTTAACCACATTTCCGCTGAGTTTGTATTCGTATTACTTTTATTTTACGAATTATTACATTTTTACATTACATTGGTAATGGTAAATAATAGAACTTTTTTGCCCAATTTATCGCCTTCATAGAAATTATAGAAATAAAACTATTATTCAAATATTTTTAATAGTCCCGCTTATTCCCCAGCGCTGGGTTTACCGTAATTTCGCTTAAAAATGTTTTGCAGCCCATTTTCGATCACTTATGAACCAATACACTTGAACAAAATCAGCAATCAGCTTGCTGAAAAAACAAACATGCTTGATCGATCAAACTAAGCTGAGCTGATTTCAGCGAGCTTTTTCAGCTTTCAGCTCAGCTCAGTCTGCAATGTGCGCACTTGCACCGGTGCAGTGTGCTTGTTTTTTCAGAGCTGAAAAATAAGCTATCAGCTCCGTTTTCAGCTCCGCTTTCAGCTACAGTGTGCGCGAGCCCTTAGTCTGGATGGGGAAAATGTTACACTGAAAAGGTCTCACTTATCTCCAAAAATGTCAGAAATCACCATACGAACATTTTTTATCAAATTTTAAGCAAGCGCTAAAAGAAATTGATTGAACAGGATCGAGGAGCAAAGGTAGAGGTATCGATGGAAGCCTTTGGCGCCGCAAATTTCAGGCAGCCAATCACGCACAAAGAGCTGAAAGGAGGAGGCTGGCCTGCTGGGGGTGATGGGTTGAAGGCTGATGGGTAGCGTGGAGCATGGAACGGGACTTGTAAATTAACAATTCCTTTCAATTAAGTGCGCAACCGACAAAAAGTTCGACCAACAAAAAGAGAGAAGCGCCACACTGACGTGGAGGGCGTTAAGGGGAAAAAGGCAGACGCGGGCAACGATATTTTCGTTTCAATAAAAATCAGCATCAGGCCAACAGAAAATGAAAATGCTGCATATTGTACTATGATGCAGCACAACTACAGTGGGCGATCGGTAAGGGGCACAAATGAAATGAGAATAATACATTTAAATGCTTCGGAATTAGATATAGGAATGTTTTTACTGAATATTTCCGACACTTTTTAATCCCAAATTTCTAAAACATTAATCGTGGAAGATCATCCTTAAGTGGATACAAATTAGGAGAGTAGGGAAGGATATTCTTTTGGGGTTAGTTTTCTTGGATACAGCTTGTACTTGTATATACTTTAGAGAGGCCTCACTGTTCACAGCACATGTGGGTGGTGTGTACATAAATAGACGCCGACAGATAACAGACGGCTGGCTGGGTGAACGGGAGGGCGTTGGAGCCGGGAGCGGCTGCTTCAGAGGGGGTGGGTGGTACTGGATGGCGGGTCTAAAATCAGCAGCAACTGTAACAAGTTTCGTGTTTCTCTTTTGCAGCTTCTTCGCTACAGTCAATCAGTTTTGCATGAGCGATTTCTTTACTCGTTTGCGCCAACTCTACAATTTACTTACACATACACCCTCCTTCCCTTTCTGTGCTATCTGTGAGTGTGTTTGTGTCTTTGGGGAGCGGCACGAGTCCAGTGCTCCAGTGGGCGTCTGCTATTTGCAACAAAGTTAAAAGAGTTGACTGTACTCAATGATTTAGCAATGCTTTGGGGCCCCCGGAAACTTTTCTGTTCGAATGTTGCCGAGAGTCCAGCTGAAAGAAACCTTATACGGTCTGGGGTCCTTAGTGAATACTTAGACGAGTTCCAGGCTTAAGGTTTCACTACCTGTTCTATCCCATTGCAGGCTATAAAGTATCCAAATAATTAGCTACAATTTGGCAAACACTCTTTGGGCAATCTTTCGCCTCCTGTCGAGCACTTTCTGTAATTAAAACCCAACAGAAAATCAAACAGAATCCCAAAATCGAAACGTAGAAACTTTGTTTGGGTAAACTCACTCGCTCACACGTCCAAAGATTTTCACACGCACCTCCGCAGCCAGGGCATGTTGCCACACAACATGTGGCAGCGTGTTGGGGCATTGTGTACCAAAAATCGACTCGATTGGCTGAGCTTGTCTTTGATTTTCTCTGTAGTTGGAATGCGAGAGACGTGATATTTGCTTAATTTTGATACCCAGCACTAGGAGAGTACAGAGAGCGTATCGGTTCTATTCTGCAGCAACCACAAATCATACAAATCGAATGGATATCTACATATACATATGTATGTACAGCATTATGCATAATGAACTTTATACTTCATTGAAAGCTGTTTGTAAGGGTATAATACAGTCCAAATATTCACTTGCCACCTGGCATTTCCTTTCCTGTACGTCACCTCCTCACTTACCCTCTGCCCCTGTTGTCTCGATGTTCTCTAGGGGAATTTGGGGGGATTTTGGTTTGCACGAATAATTATTTGTCGATTTTGGGGTTGGAGTTTGACTGTTTTTCAGGTAATTTTCCCACAGACACAGACCCCAGAAAGACCGAAGCAATTAGAATCGGAATCAAACGAAGCAAAACGGAAACAACACTCTCCAACGCAGAGCAGAACCGAACAGAACAGAACACAGAGGACATGCGGGGACGCCAGAGCCATTGCCATAGCAATCGGATATCAGGTAAATGATTCCGTTGGCCAGAACAGATGTAGATGCGGCAAGTGCTCGAGATTCGAGCTAAATGTTCGTTTTGTTTGGGAGCTGTTGAAAACTCTCAGTGTGGAGAAAATGGGAGGAGGAATTCTGATGGCTATTTCTCCTTCATTCAAATGTTTTACTTGTTATGCTTTACTTCGCAGATCTCAAAATAATACTCGTAAAGGGATCATTTTCATCTTTAAAATGATGGAAATGCCAAAGATAAAAATATTAAAGATGTTCCACTAAATACTAAAAAAAAAACAATATAAAGTTGCTGGGTACTTTAAAGCTCAATTCATTCGGAATATACCAAAGTTTACATAATTTTATTACCTTGCTCTTAAAGTTATTTTTTTCGCATTTAATTTCGAGAATTGTTTACATACGGCGATGCATATTTGATTGGACTTTTTTTATTGGATACTTAATTTTAATCTGCTCCGTTCTATTTATGCTCGTACGACGCTCCTTGGTGCTGGCAGCCCCTCGACATTTGTTTGCTCATTTTATTCCATCTTTATTTTATTATTGTAGCAAATTTTAAGAGCCATTCCACCGAGAGAAAACATAGGGAAATCTCTCAGCCATAAAGCAGAGCAAAGCTCATCTGCCACATGCGAAGTGCTGTCTGTTTGGTCGGAAAATACATAATTTCATTATGACAGGACTCTCATATCCTCTCGCTGCGATGTACTCCCCATCCCCCATCTTTCAGCCTGCAGCATTAACTGTCAACAC